AATTCATATGAATTCAAATTTAGTCAAGACTCTACAACGGACGTCCCGTTTTCCATCCCTTTGACACTCATATCCAAGTGGCCACGCACGACGTTTAGCACGTCAAGCGGGGCGTCGCTCGCCACGCCCACCAGCTAGGCAAGTTGCGATTGTATTGTCATATACCAAGTTGGGAACATGGAGAGGACAACGGGAAATAGCGACTGTAAATGGCCCAATAGAAGAGCATCAGATAAAATAGAAAATCTAGTACAACGAAAAGAGAACCTCAGAACCTCATCTCATTCAGAAATTACACTGACCGTAATCTTCACTTTTTTGTCGGCATCGTTGGACATACGCAGTGTGGATTCTTTTATTAGAGAAATGAAATCGGATATCCGAGAATTCGTTGCCCTTTTCAATCTCATCTTCTTCACGGACATCCTGAGCGTCCAACAGTTCTACAATATCGGCATATTTAAGCAATTTCTTAGAGCACGATCACGTTGATATTTAACTTTTCCGGGTACTCTATGAGGGGCAATCCAAAGGGGTGACAACAAGGTCCTCGATAGGATTGTGAGGATGCAAAATATCAAAGACATTCTTTGCCATGTGCGAGGTGAATGGATCCGCCGCTGCAGAAGCGTGCCCCCTCACTATCCAGAGTGCAAGGAAAGTGGGGTGGAGAGTAGTTAGACCAAGATGCTGTCTCCTTCGTTCGCCTGCGCTGCCGCACGGCCAGTCACATGCCTGACCATTGCCAAACGCGCTACTTGCCCGAGCATTCTCTCTCACGGTCGTTCTCCTCCTCTGACTACGTATTCTTGTGTGGTATAGTAGCGATACTGCACCTTGAGGAAAGCGCGGGCGGAGTCGGGAGGCGGTACTCGAGCACCAGTACAGCTCACCTCAAGTGCACTTTGGTGGAGAAAAAAAGTGTGCTCGGTTGCGGATCCATTCGTCTCGCACATGGTAAGGACCTTCGTCGGAGGTGAGTAGGCATTTCGCCTCCAACGAGAAGACTGAAGTCGTCAAGACTGTCTTTAATTTGATATGGAGATATGTTGGAACGAATAGATTCCAACCAATTCCTGCACATTTTTAGAGAACCTTGGCATAAGTAGTACTATTCCCAAAGGTGAATTACCCACTAGAAACGGGACAAAAGGGGAACAGCCTCTCACTGTTTTCGAAATAACCATTCTCGTGAGGTGCGGGTTCGACTCCCGCCTGGGGTTCGACTTTTGCCCATAACTCAGCATTCTTGTGATAACTTTCGGAACGCGAACTGCGGCGTAAAACAGCAGTTATCATAACAAAACAGCTTTCGAAAACAGAAAGAGAAAAAACGAACTGTGGGGTCCAAGATCGTTTGCGTGGATGTAAATATGGCCTCCATGAGCTATCAGCGTATGTGCAATCAGTTTCGCTCCTACATTTCCGAGCAGGCCTTCACTTTTAGCAACATGCTGGAATGAAACCTCCTTAGAACGGAACTCTACACCAATGAAACTTAGGTGAGGCACGCCGCACTGTGAACACGCCAATGCGGCAAATTATTAAAACTAACGTTTATTTCCAACATCACATTCCGTCCTTGAAGGAGGTAAGATGACAAGCACACCGATGGTCGACTATTTACTGCTGAAGGAGTCACCGTAGAAGCGTGCCGTGTGCGTGGGAACTTAAACGGACGAGGATTGAAAGGGGTCAAAAAAGAAAAATCTAGTGAGAATAAAAAAAACCATATTCCATCGTCCTT